TCCCGCCGAGGGTTCAGATCCCACATACAGACCGGTTCCCGCTCACTGGCTGAGCGAGGTGCGGGGGCAACACCAAGGGTTGCAATCCCGTTGCCGGTCCCGGTCCGGTACGGGCGCGACACTGAGGGTTGCGATCCGTTGCCGGTCACGAAAAAAGACAAAAAAAGGAAAAAAAAAAAAAAAGAAAATTAGCAATATCAATCCATACTTGATACTAAGGACTATGGAGATAAAGAAAGTACAAAAAATATAGTAACAACAACAGCAGCAGCTAACATTCTTTGGATACTTACCACGTACCAGGTTCTATGCACTTCACATGCATTAATCCATTTAAACCTCACAACAACTGTACGAAAGAGGTTCTACCATTATCCCCATCTTAAATGAGAAAACCAAGGCACAGAGAGAATAACTTAACCAATGTTACCAGCAAGCAAAAGGACAATCTGAGATATAAATCCAGACAGGAAGGCTTTAGAGACTGCAATCTTTAAGATAATGCATACTGCTTTTACACTAAATTTTTTTAAATGATGTTTGCAGAAAAACGATAGGCAATGAAGATACTAGCCTAGGACTCAGGAGACGTGAGCTCTAGTGCTCCTTCCTCTGTACAACCCTGAACAAGTCACATCTCCTCTCTATCTAATTATCTATTAGATAAGAAGGCTGAACCATCTAAATAGCTCCTTAATGGGTAACTGACAATTCTAACGATCTAATAGAAAGGAATTTTTTTTAAAAAAAGTTTTTTCCTGAAAAACCTACACTTCTCAAACAAGGGTTGTCTGCCCCTCTCTCCTTTCTAATCCCTGCTCCCAAAATAACAATGGAAAAAACATAATAAATTATGGAAAGAATCTAAAGAAACCTAATGTACAAAAGATAAAATTCCCAAATTCTAGTCTTCTCTTTGCTTATACAGAATTGATCTTTCCTTAAGGAATTTCAGAAGTTAAAAAATAGCAAAGAATTACAGTATTAGGTAGAAGTTATATTTTATACCATGTCTGCAAATGTCTACAGTATCTTATAAAAAGCAGCCCACACAAATACATGTCACTAACCATACAGCTTCAATTATATTGGTTTATTAAAATATTTTCAAAGTGCAAGATATGGAATTGCACTATTCCATGCAACCACTGGGTGCTATCACCACCACACACCTACCCACAATAAAAATGGCATAGTTCTTATACTATTCCTACTGTACCTCACACCTCAGCACTACTCGAGGATACAGAGAGGCTAGGGAAGTGGAAATGTCTACCATAGATATGCAGAGAATACCTAATATACCCTTCTCTTGCTCCCAACCAAGCTGAAGTGTTTTTCAATTCCCTGTTGGATTTCTTCTGTGATTTGGCTATGAGCTACCCTTTACTGAATATTTACTGTGCTCCAGGCACATATTTAGTGCTCAATAAATCTTATCTCTCTCTCTCTTTTTTTTTTTTTTTGTGGCTGGCCAGAACAGGGATTGAACCCTTGACCTTGGTGTCATCAGCACCATGCTCTAACCAACTGAGCTAACCAGCCAGCCCTCTTATCTCACTTAATACTTTCAACAGTCTTGCTGGCATAGTTTGCCAAGCTCCGTCTTGATGCCCATTTCTTTGTTCCCTACTCCATAGTAATATTCTGCTTTTCCCTATCACTCTGTCGCTAAGAATTTGATAAGAGTAATGGAACTGGTTTTAGTAGTGTAGTCAAGCTTTAAAAAAAAAAAAAACCTAATGGGCTAATGGCAGCTTGGTTAAAATTAGTATTTTTTTAAAGACATAATATTTTATAAGTTACATAAAAACAGTAGTTACTGAACAACATGGACAACATGAAACCACTTATGTAAACCTGATCCCACAAAATATATGTTACAGTTACATATATACATAAATGAACAGTAAAGGATCTGGAAGAATATACACTACACTGGTAACAATGGTTATCTCTAGAACAAAGATTGAGATTGGCCACAAAGCAGTCACTGGGGGACTTTCAATTTATCTATAGTTTCTGAATATTTTATAATAAAAATGTTACCACTATACTCTTGGAAAACAGGCTGACAGGCAGAACCAAAAATGATGATGATGATAATGGCTATTCTTGCTCGCAAAAAAATATTTAAGGTCTGATACTCTCTGGTCAGCTTGGTATTTAAAAAAAAAAAAAAGCAAATGGCTATAACCACCACATTGCTCTATGGAGGCTTAGAAGGGACAGGAATGAGCCTGACTTCTCACATCAAGCTTGCAGTTTCTTAACAATCCATCCTACTTCCCTTAGCAACTTAAAACACACAAGGGAAGGTCATACACTGTACACCGGGCTGGTAGGCTAAGCTATGGTGTCCTCCCTTACCCCTCAGTCTTCTGGGGAGGCAAACCCACCCTGCTAGGTAAACAAAGACACTTACAAACAATGAGGTACTGAACAGCAAGCTGACAAAGTCCTTGCTATTCTAGGAAAGCCAGCAACGCTGGCTTCCCCTTTGCCTGCTTCCCCCTTCTCCCTCCCCTTGAGATCTGACCTTTGATTGAACCCAGGACCCTGAGAGCTTTGTAAATGAGGAACTTATGTTCTTATTTTGTTGATAAGTAGTTAGCCATGAACCTTCAAGCCCCATGGCAGCTGAAGATGTTCTATAAATAGCTTTGTACCAGACATAACTGATTTAATCAGTACAATTTGTTATTTTCACTGGCTTATAAAAAGGAACCTAAAATAAACTAAGATGCCTTGTAGGCCATAAGCCTGTAAGGTCCTCCTGATCCCATAAAGTGTGTCTCTTCATTTCCCACCATCTCCCCTCGGGGTACTGGTCAGCAACAACAAACCTGATGGATGAAAAACTATGGTCCTGGACACCAAGATCATTTCTACTACTCTTGCCAAATCTTCACCTCTCTTACTCCACTGTCCTTCCACTATACCCTCCAGCAAAACCCCTGCTCCAACCACCCCCTGTTCTAACCATCTAACTGTGCAGACCAAAAACTACCACACACTCATGGCTACAAGAGATGCCCCAAATATATATTTTGACCAAATACTTAGTGGCCAAATGTTAAAAATCAATATTCTGCCAAAGCTGAAGCTGAAGCCAAAGGTGAATATTACCATCAGAGAATAAACTTTTGGGATACAAGAATAAATCTAAAATTTTATTAAAATAAATTACTTAAAAATTTAGTATTAAAATTTTACAGGGGCTGGCCGGTTAGCTCAATTGGTTAGAGCACAGCCTTATAACACTAAAGTCATGGGTTAGGATCCGATCCCTGTACTGGCCAGCTGCCACAAAAAAACAAACAAACAAACTAAAAACTAAAATTTTACAAATCTGATACTGCATGGTAGAAATAATAATTTATCAGCATGGTCAACTACTGGACTGCTCCTATGTTCACTCCATTACATATATGCAATGTTAAATAGATGGTCACTTTCAATTGAGGTCCATGGAGTTCCAGCAAGGTATTTTGGGGTATTTCATTTTTCTCTAACACTTTCTTTTCTTCGTTCTCTTTATTCTTAATTATGTTTGGATCAAAGTATGATTTACCATGGCTATTTCTGTATAGAGTTTTGGAGTTTTTTTCTTAGTGAAATACTGAGGTAGTAAAATTGACATCCTATTTTTAATTCATCTTCACAAGATGTGAAAATTTCTAAATAAGACTTTTTTTTTACACTCACAGATTGCAGGGAGGTAAGGGTCAGATCCTTTTCTATGAGCACTATCTGTAGTATGTATATATTTTTTTTCTTTTTGTCTTTTTTGTCGTGACCGGTAACGGGATCGCAACCCTCAGTGTTGCGCTCATACCGCGACCGGCAACGGGATCACAACCCTCGGTATCGCGCCCGCACCGCGCTCAACCAGTGAGCAGACTGGTCTCTATATGGGATCCGAACCCTCGGCGGGAGCGCCGCCACGCTCCCAAGTGCCGCACTCTACCGAGTGCGCCACCGGGCCAGCCCTGTAGTATGTATATTTTCATCAGATTGTTCTCATGCAACAGGCATGTCAAACAAGTGTGTGAAAACTTTAGCTAATTCTAATCCATCACATTCTCACATATTATACCCTCATAACAACATATCATGTGCTTATATATCCCTCACTCCCCACCAGACTGGGTCCTAGTGGGAAGGGGCTGGTTCTAACATTTTTGCTGAATGAAGTAAATAACAGCACAATCAGGAACCGTGAAAACAGGCTGGGGAGAGCCTTGATGCCACAGTGAGACATCTCAACCAATCTTTCTCTCTCTTGCCAGAGGAGGTGGCTCTGAGTTCCAGGGACAACTCCTACCAGATAAGATTTTTTTTTTTTTTAAGCTTTATTTTATCACTCTTATCAAACACACATCAGAAAGCATATCAACAGTGCATCTTACGGTTAAGTCAGTTTACAACAAAACTGAACAAGGCAATTGTGTTTACAGAAAGTTTTCAGCAAAAATTCGCAATACAGTCAAAAACGCAGTATTCATACTTTTTAGGTATATAGGAAGTGTAAAATAATAGTCCTCTGCTACTCAGCAAGAGAAACCAAGTTTAAAAGACTTGAATGGAAATCAGATGTTTAGGGATTCAGGAAAAGAACTTCTTGGCACTGACACACATCTACATTTATAGTCCCACCTGGTTATTTAAAAAACAAAACAGAAGAAACCCTCATAAACAATAAGACATCACAAAGAACAGAAAACTACAGTGCCAAGAAATGCCAAGACTGATATGCTATTGAAACAACAGGTAGAGGGCCGGCCCAGTGGCGCACTGCTACAGTGCGCCACTTGGGAGCATGGTGGTGCTCCCGCCGAGGGTTCGGATCCCACATACAGACCGGTTCCCGCTCACTGGCTGAGCGAGGTGCGGCCGCAACACCAAGGGTTGCGATCCCGTTGCCGGTCCCGGTCCGGTACGGGCGCGACACTGAGGGTTGCGATCCGTTGCCGGACACGAAAAAAGACAAAAAGGAAAAAAAAAAAAAGAAGAAACAACAGGTAGAAATGTTATAGACAAATATTCACTATGTATTGTAATATTCTTATAGTTCTAAGGTGAAGGTAAACCAACAGGAGAGAATACTCCTTTTAACTGGCTAAGATTTTTAAAAAATCTAACTGGAAGATAGTATACTATACCACTTAAGCAAGTCAGAAATGTTTTATTTATTTATACATACTTTGCCTTGTTCTGAAAAGGATGTGAGACAGTTAACTGACATATTATAAAACTACTTGCATATCCCCAAGCTCACAAGGTTCTGAAGTTCAAAAAGAAGTTGGCAGCTACACAGAAGTACTTTGCATGAATGTCATCATCATCTTCCTCCAGCCCTGCTAGGTCACAGAAAGTGCCACTACCTAGCAGGAAAAGAGTGGGACAAAGCGGTATTCTAAGAGTGGCAAGAAGAAAGAGTAGCTATAGTTCTCAAGTCTCATGAAAATAAATCTCTTCTCTCTAAATGACATTTTGAGGATATCAGTCCTAAGTCTTACTCATCAAATCTTGGATTAATCAGATGAGGCCAGTTACATACATATACATCAGGCAATTTTAACTCTGTGAAATTCTGGCATAAGGTAATACTCAAATGATCTTACCTGTATTATGGGAAATGGAAGATAGTTCATGTTGTTAACAAAATACAAGAGGCTATAACTATAGCCCATAAATGCTCCAGCCAGTAGGAAAAAAAGATGATGTTCATTTAAGCAGGTTTGTGTGGCAGGGCTATCTAAGCTGAAGGGAGAAAGTTAGGCAATTAATTCAACAGTCAAGGATATGTATCACTGTTTTAGGCTCAATATTTACTGAACACAAAGCTCTGACTTAATCACTTAAGAAATGTCCCAAATTCTAACTAAATGGCTCATTTTAGGTGTAAACAAAAAATTAACAAAACCCTTTTCCCTGAAGCATGAGAATCTGACCTTTTTTAGTTAACTCTAGCTCTGTTCCCCTGGAAATCTAATGGGGTAAGAATGTCAACTATAATAGTAAGCAATGTTGCCTACAAGTTGCTTACTATCATAGTAAACTGCATCTGGACTGAGAGGAACTATAAATAAATAATACATACCTGATAGAGATGCCATAACTTTGGGCTTCTCTCTGTGTTCTCTTATACTTGAGCATTCTCTCTTGGGACCCTGGATGCTACACCTACAAAGTTGTTACAAGAGATACTGGATCCTGTGGGGCACAAGGCCTTTAAACCAGGGAGCCCCATGCCTGTTTGATGTGGATCTCTTCTCCTTGTACCTGAGTTGTACCACAGGAAAGAAGACAGCTCCTAGATGGCTGTGGGACCTATCACCTGTATGAACTGCTTCAAGAACTCCTGCTAAAGAGGAGCTCCTGATGCTTCCCAGCTGAAAAACTACGGTTATAAGTTCTAAATATTTAGTTAAATCCAAGATCACCTGGAGGGCAGTGCCATAAGCTACTACCCTATCATCATTATCTTATGATATCTTTTAATTGTAAGCATAAGATCTTATCCAGTTGGTGAACATCAAGATCTTAAACTCCTTTGAGAATTTCCTGAGAACTTCTATCATCTATCAAATATCTGGGGGTATATAGAGCCAATACATCATAATTCAGTAGGGGTCAATTTTTCCTGAATGAGTACAGACTGTGGACCTGCCTCACCATCTCCCTCCATGAGAGATGAGGTTCCAGGTTGACTGTTTTCTAGACCCTGAGTTACAAGATAATGGAAGAGATTAGTTGTTTTTTTTTTTTTTTTTAAAAGATGGCCAGTAAGGGGATCTTAACCCCTGACTTGATGTTGTCAGCATCACACTCAGCCAGTGAGCAAACCGGCCATCCCTATATGGGATCCGAACCCGGGGCCTTGGTGTTATGAGCACCGCACTCTCCCGAGTGAGCCACAGGCCGGCCCGGAAGACATTAGTTCTGCTAAAGATTCTGACTATGAAATCATCAGTAAATTATACGAGGGGTCTTCAAAAAGTTCATGAAAAGATTCATATTATCTTTTAATTCTATTTTTCCATGATCTTTTTTGAAGTACCCTAATATTTATAATAGGTACTAGTCTCTTTAACCACCCTTAGCTTCATTCTGCTCCCTGGAACTCAGACTGCCGCCTCTGCTAAAGAAAGATACGCAAAAAGAATCCAAGACTCATCCAAAATGAGCAGTTGGGATTTCCTTATTCACAGTAGTCCTGTATTTATACATGTCCTTTATCATTTATTGTTTGTCAACAAGATAATTTTCACTAAAGAAAAATTATATTAAGGGGGAAAAACTGCCTTATATAATAGTAGCTAGGGGCCAAAAGGAAATCAAATATTCAGTAGTAATCATGTAACATTGTTTTAGGCAGTGGAAAATAGAGAACTTAAGATTACCTTACTAATCTTTTTGGATTTTTTTTTTTCCTTTTTGTCTTTTTTCGTGTCCGGCAACGGACCGCAACCCTCAGTGTCACACCCGTACCGGACCGGGACCGGCAACGGGATCACAACCCTCGGTGTTGCGCCCAC